GGAGCAAGGGGAACACTCCTCCACTGTTGGTGGGAATGTAAACTTGTACAACCACTGTGGAAATCAGTATGACGGTTTCTCAGAAAATTGGGAATCGAACTACCTCAAGACCCAGCCATCCCACTCTTGGGCATATACCCAAGGAATGCTCAATCATACCACAAAGATAACTTGCTCAACTATCTTCATAGCAGCACTATTCGTAATAGTCAGAATCTGGAAACAACCTAGATGCCCATTAACTGAAGAACGGATTAAGAAAATGTGGTACATATACACAACGGAGCACTGGTTGCTCTTCCAGAGGGTCTGAGTTCAATTCCCAGCAACCACATGGTGGCTCACAACCATCTGTAATAGGATCTGATGCTCTCTTCTTGCATGCAGACATACATGCACATGGAGCACTCATACCAAAAGAAAATTCATAGGTGGAGGTGGCGAACACCCTTAATCCCAGCACTTGGAAGGCAGAGGCAGGTGGATCTCTGTGAGCTCGAGGCTAGCCTGGGCTACAGAGTGAGTTCCAGGACAGCCAGGGCTATCATACAGAGAAACACTGTCTCAAAAGTACAGTACATAAATAGTGTGTGTGTGAATGGGCTGGGTATGGTGGTGCATGACTATAGCCCTAACCCCAGCGCTCATCAAGTAAAGCAGGAGGAATAAGTACAGTCTAGAGACTCTAATATCAAAACAAACTATATATGCATGTGTACAAACTGTAGGTGCATGTGTGAGAGCAAAAACACATACACACATGATATATGTAAATGGATGTTTCCTGTCCCGACCACCCAGTCCCAAATAACCAACTCAGAGACTGAATATGAATTATAAGTGCTTGGCCAATAGCTCTGGCTTATTACTAACTAGCTCTTACAATTTAAATTAACCCATTTCTATTAATCTTATGTATTGCCATGTGGCCCATGGCTTTACCTGTCCTCTAGCATGTCTTGCTTCCTGAGCGGCTGGCTGGCACCTCTCCTGACTCTGCCCTCCTTCTTCCCATCATTCTCAGTTTGGTTTTCTTGCCTAACTTCCTGCTCAGCTACTGGGCTGTCGGCTTTTTATTAATCAATGAGAGTAATACATATTCATACTGCAGAAAAGGATTCTTCCACAGCAGATACATATGTTTTTCCAGACAGGGTTTCTCAGTGCAGCCCTGGCTGTCCTGGAACTCATTCTGTAGACCAGGCTGGCCTCAAACTCACAGAGATCCACCTACTTCTGCCTCCCAAGTGCTGGGATTAAAGGCGTGCACCACCTCCACCCAGAAATAAAGTATTTTTTATACACCATCATTTTATCATCTAACTGACAAGAATGCAAAAGACAGAGCTGGATCTATGGCTCAGTGGTTAAGAGCGCAGGTTGATCCCAAATCCAGAGGATCTGGGTTCGATTCCCAGCACCCACATGGCAGATAACAACTGTCTTTAACTCCAGTTCCAGGGCATCCATAACACTTGGTGCAAACATATATTCAGACAAAATACTCATATATAATTTAAGTCATATTTTTAAAGGGAAGGGG